TGGGCTCCCGCTTCCGGTCCTGGGGCTGCCACCAGAACTACTATTCCCAGAATTCGTGGTGCTCCCCGCGCTCTTGGATTCCCTTCCTGCTCTGTTTTTGTCCCATGACGTCCCACTCTACCAAGTCCTCCAAGGCACCAGCTCTCCCTCTCTGCTCCCTGTCTGGTGGCTTGGAGAGCCAAGTTTCCCAAGCTATTCCACTCTCCGCTGGCTATCCCGTTCTGTTCTCTGCCCGGCAGCTTCGGGGAGTGACCAAGGGAGCCACATCCCCCCCAAGCCACTGGCTCTCCCGTTCTGCTCTCCACCTGGTGCCTGCCCACCCAAATCAGCCCCCCATCTTTGTCCAGTTGATTTGCATACGCACCCCTGATAGGCTGGTGAGCATCGTGGAGGGGTGGTCAATTAACATGTTTCTCTTTTATTTTATAGGATTCCTTTTATTTTATTTTTTATCCTCACCTGAGGATATTTTTCCATTGATTTTCAGAGAGTGGAAGAGAGAGGGAAAAACAGAGAGAAGCACCGATGTGAGAGAAACACATCGATTGGGCGCCTCCTGCAAAGCCCTGACCAGGGCCCGGCTGAGGAGGAGCCTGCAGCCAAGGTACATGCCCTTCACCAGAACTGAACCCGGGACCCTTCGGTCCACAGGCTGATGCTCTATCCACTGGGCCAAACCGGCCAGGGCAGCACATTCCGTTCTATAAAGTCCGAGATGCCTGGGAACTCAGTGCCTGTCTTCTCCCACTGGTGTCCTCGGACTCCCAGTGGCTGCCCACCTGCAGGCATCGGCCCTCATCCCAGGCAAAGGGAAGCACATAGGACCCACCCCAGGCCTGCGAGCCTGCACGTCCTGTTGGAGACAGGTGTCGCTGTCCACCAAAATGGTGACAGAGGAGGACCCCACGAGTTCACAGATTCAGCTGGGGCGAGAGACCCCATTGGTGCTCCTTGCCCCTCTGTCTGGGCGCCCCCAGCCCTGGCCGCCTCCGTCCCCTCTGAGGGGCTTGGGAAAGAGGACCTGCTCAGGACACTGAGGTGAGCGGCAAAACGAGAGGGGGCGGACGAAACACAAACACACACACACCAAATACACACACACACACACACACACACACACACTCACACAGCAGATGACAAGCAGGAATCTCCTAGGTTCTCCAAACACACCCTCAAGCCTCCATCGGAGTAGCAGAAAGCAGAGGATGTCACCACTCCCAGGCGGGTTTGCAAGAGCCTCATCCTCCAATCAGCTCCTCTGGTTTGGATTCCTGAACTCTGGCAAGAGCCCACACTTCTGTTCCTGGAAGCAAGTGACCAAGACGCAGTCACTCTGGGAAAGCAGACAAGTGGGTAGAAGACACGTGGTCTCACATGACAAGAGGAGTCCCCACTCTCTGCGATGTCACATGCAGGTCCAGGCAGACCTGACCCCCAGCTCCCAGGGCCCCGTCGCCCCGGACCCGCGGGCTCAGAGCTTTGCCCCTGACACGGGCACCTGAGACCTCAGAGAGGGTAGCTCGCAGCTGAGGACACGGCTGAGCCCTGGGCTCCCAACCTCAGCCTGTCCTCCTGCCGGAAGGCACCTGCGGGAAGGCAGACCTGGGCCACATGCAGAGCAGCCTCTTGCCCGGGCAGTGTCTCTCAGTGGTTGAGCATTGACATATGAAGCAATAAAATCAATAAAAAATATTAAAAAGAAACATACAACAACGTGACTTCTGATTTGATGCTGAGGAGCTGATTCCATGCTGAGGTTCTTGCAAACCCACCTGGGAGTGGGGACATCCTCTGCCTCCTGCCACTCAGGGGCTTGTGGGTGTGTCTAGGAGATTCCTGCTTGTCATCTGCTTGTGTGTGCGTGTGCGTGTGTGTGCACGTGTGTGTCTGTGTGTGCGTTTGTCTCTCTCTGTGTGTGTGTGTGTGTGTGTGTGTGTGTGTGTGTGTGTGTGTGTGTCTGTGTTTGGTGAGTCAGGGCAGCCTTTTGGCCCGTTGCCCAGACACAGCTGTGTGCCAAGCCCGATCTTGGTCGTATCTGTGGCACCAGCGGTGGGACCACCAGCTGGAAACAAGGGAATCAGCCACAGCCATGGAGCCAGCATGGAGTGCAGAGTGCACGGGGGACAGACCCGGGGCTGCACTGGCCACGTCCCCTGGAGGGAAAGTGGGGCCGGCACAAGGTGGTCTGAGAGGAGCCGGGTGGACAGTCAGTGGGACAGAGGGGCATCCCCTCATGGACAAACTACCAGCTGGGGCTCAGGTCACACTTGAGCCTGGAACACAAAGTTCCCCCTTTCCTCGCAGGTGGGGGTAAAGAGGACGAGCGGTGCCCCTTCCTGAGGCGGGCACACCCTGCATCCTCTGCTCCCAGGCCATCCTGGCTGCCCTGCTGGGAGCCTCTCTGTTCTCCTCTGTGTAATGGGCGGACAAAGGCTCCGAGTCCAGTTCCTTCCATTCAGGGTGGCTCCTAAGGGGAGCTCAGCTCACGTTGGTCCCGCCCTGCCCTTCCTCTCAGGGCAGTCTCCCTCCTGGCTCAGCCCCGCAGGTCCCTGCACTGGGCCCGGCCATGCCCTGCACTAGCGGCCGTGGGAGAGTCAGGGATGGGCACCCGGGGCCTGTCCTGTGGGGGCTCCGTGTCCTGTGCCCGGACCCTCCTCAGGTAGGAGCACCTGTCCTCTCACCTGTGCTCTCGCCTCCTGCCTGGCTGTGCCGTGCTGCCCAGGGTGACCCCACCTCCTGGGACATCACTGACCCAGGTCAGTCCAGGGAGGGCCTTTGTCAGAACAGAGAAATGAAAAGCTAACTTGCCCCTGAGGGCACAGGATGAGACATCTGTGCAGAAAAGTTCTCTCACCTATGACGCCATGTGGGTGGTATGAGTGGCCTGTGTTTAGGTAAGGGGTTGGGTGAAGCAGTGCCAGCTCAGCAGGTTCCAGGTTCTCTGATGGCATATAAGGCACCTCGGTCCTTGAAAGCATCACAGGAGGAGGACGGGCCGCGACCAGCAGAGAAGGTGAAGGAGCTGAGACATGGAGGACAACCCAGCACCAACTGGCAGGTACCACCCGCCCCTGGAGCAGCCCTGCTTCTGAGCCCCTCCTCCTGGCTCCCTGAAGGGACGTGCCTTCTCCCTAGGGGATTCCCTTCTTCTCCTGTCCCTCCTGATGGCCCTTCTATGTCTAGGACCCCTCAGCTGATACCATGTTGAGCTGTCCTAACCGCCTCCCATGACCCCAGGCTAAAAACTGGGGGTCACCATTGAGGATCCCTGTTTCTCCTCTCCCTCCATCTCCCATGAAATCTATTCTTTCTGCTCTGAATTGAGACACTAGGAGGTCACGTTCAGATTTATGTTTTTGTTTTTGTAAAGGACACATTGTTTTTATGTTGAGAAAGGAAATGTGTTGAGTTATTTGGGAAGACTAGTTTGGCATCTCTTTTCCCCGATGGGGCCACCCTTTCCCTGATGCACCATGTGGCTCAGGTTAACCCAGAAGAGCAGAGGAAAAAGCGCCCCTGGCCTGCACCTGGCAGGGCTGGGTCAGCGGGACAAGGGCAGGACCGTGATGCCAGGAGAGGCCCCGTCAGAGCTCTGAGCCCCTGCACTGCTCCTGGGGAGACCCTGACAAAAGGACTGGGCTGACTCCCCCAAGAACCCCCGAAAAGGTCAGAGAGGGAGGTTAGGTGGCTCCAGCTAAGTGAGTGGACGCCTATTCTCTGTGGGTCTAGCTGGGAAGTGGGTGCAGAGAGGAGGAGAACGGGGTGATCCCCAGAGGAACCCCATGCCTTGCTTCCTCCTGCCTGTGCCCACAGACCCCTGATGGATGCAACCACCTTCAAGGAGAACTTCAGTCACAGACGGGCGAGAAAAACATACCTGTGCTACGAGGTGGAGGTCTGGGAGGGCAACACCTGGGCCCCAGTGGAGGGGCTCCAGGGCTTCCTGCACAACCAGGTGAGCGAGCACAGCAGGCAGGGCCCCCGGGACACTCGGGGAGAAGGTTCCCATGCCCGTGGGGTGTCCTCTGAGCAATGTCCCTTCGCCCCCAGCTGCTGTGGTGTTGCCCAGAGGCAGGGAGGACGGACTCTGCTGTGATTGGCAGCTTGGAGCCCCACATCAGAAAGCAGTCACAGTGTCCCAGGGCCTGGGCCCACCAGCCCAGGGTCAGCCCAGCCTCCAGGGTCAGCCTGTCCCTCCTGCTGTGCCTCTGAGGAGGGGTCAGGCCAGAGGGAAAGGCACCTGGACAAAGGGGCCGTTCTCCCCTGGCCCCGCCCGGGCCGCCTCTGGCCAGAGAGCCAGAGCTCCCCCTTGGTGCCCCCTCCAGTCACTCCTGGGACAGCCTGCCAGGGTGCTGTCCCCACAAGTGCATTGCCAGCTGCACGTAGCCCAGGACGCCTCCTGGGTCCCGAGGTACCATCCTCTGCCACCAGGGCTCTGCGCTAGCTCCGTGGGCCTGACTTCTTCCTCCTCCCTGAGCCCCTGGTTGAAAATCCTTCCCTGGGCGGGTGGGCTAATCTCCATAACCCTGGGAGCCCAGCAGCGAGGCTCATCCCGTGTCTCCCGCACCTCTGCCTCGGTGCCCTCACCCTTTCTTCCCGCAGAGTTGTGTCACCCGTGGGCGCAGCACAGGGGAAGCCCAGAGTAGAAGCGTGTGGAGGTGTTGGTGCACAGGCGGGAGCTGGAGGTAGGGGAGCAGAGGGAGAGCTCCCCTGCCTGGAGGGAGCACCCACCCCTGTGGCATCAGGCCCAGGACCTTGGGGCTCATCTGCCTCCTCCCTCTGTCCTCAGCTATTTATTTATTTATTTATTGGTTTGTTTGTTTGTTTGTTTATTTATTTATTTATTTATTTAAAAGACTTTTATTGATTCCAGAGTGGAAGGGAGAGAGAGATAGAAACATCAGTGATGAGAGAGAATCATTGGTTGGCTGCTGCCTCCTGCACGCCCCGCCCCCTACTGAGAATCAAGCCTGCAACCTGGGCCTGGGTCCTGACCAGGAATGGAACTGGTGACTTCGTTTTGGATGGGTCCCTGCTCAACCCACTGAGCAACACCGGCTTGCTGCCCTCAGCTCTTTTTCTCCCTGCAGGGTCTGAGTAGGTGCAGCTCCTGAAAGCATAGGCTTTGGGCACAAATAGAGGCTCTCTGGGAACTCTGTACCAAGGTGAATCACATGGAGCCCAGATCTGTGTTCTCAGTGGTTAGAGCGTCAGCCTGCACAGCCAGGGGCCAGGGGTAGGATTCCAGGTCAAGGGCACTTATCTCAGTTACAGCTTTGATCCCTGGCCTCGGGTCGTGGAGCGTGGGGTAGGCAACCAGTGGATGTGTCCTCCCACATTGATGTTTCTCTCTCTCTGCCCCTCCTCCATCCCTTCACTCTTTCTCTAAAGATCAATGGAAAAAATCTCCCCAGGAGAGGATTTGAAAAAAGAACCATATTTAATGCAAAACTTTAAAAAATCAAAACTAATGCAAATTCTATGGTGAATGGAATATCACCAGGCTAAGTGAAGACTGATCACTTACAGAGCCATGGGAACCATGGTTTGTTGATGTAGAAAAGTCCTGACTGCTGATGTGCCCTTTGTAGATGCTGATATCATGTGATTTGTGTCGCCTTACCTTTGACCCTGTAGATGAGTGATGGCGAACCTTTTGAGCTGAACATTTTAGCATTTTGAAAAACCCTAACTTAACTCTGGTGCCGTGTCACATATAGAAATTTTTTGACATTTGCAACCATAGTAAAACAAAGACTTATATTTTCGATAATTATTTTATATATTTAAATGCCATTTAACAAAGAAAAATCAACCAAGAAATGAGTTGGCGTGTCACCTCTGACACGCGTGTTATACGTTCGCCATCACTGGTGTAGATCCTGCATTGAAATAGCGTTCATCCTGACTCTGAGCTGTGCCCCTTCAATCCTGTGCTGGAGGCCAGTGCCTCACCTGCCTCTGGCTGGTGCCACCCTCCCCTGTTCACAGCAAATGACAGGTCCCTCTTCTTCCCCATCTGGTCTCAGCCACTCCGTCATGCAGAGTTGTGCTTCCTGGATCGGGTCCGTTTTTGGAACCTGGAAGAGGGGAGGCAGTACAGACTCACCTGCTACATCTCTTGGAGCCCCTGCCCTGACTGTGCCCAGAAACTGGTGGAATTCCTGGGCCAGAATAGCCACGTGAGCCTGTGCATCTTCGCTGCTCGCATCTACACCATTGTCAGTGGATATAAGGATGGGCTTTGCCAGCTGCGGGATGCTGGGGCCCAACTCACCATCATGACCCTCAATGGTCAGCAGGGACTCCTGAGGGTGGGAGGTGGGCGGGCAGAGAGGCTGGGAAATGGCTACACAGAGGGGGCAGGAGGAGAATCCAGGTGGGGAAGCCTGTCAGCTGCCTGCAGGGGGTCTGCTGGGTCTGGAGAGGATGGAGTCCCCTGGAGGAGAGAGTTCAGGGGAGAGAGGGGGTCCTGGGAAGGGGGGAGGTGGGTCCCTGTGCCATCAAGACCCAGGTCCTTCCTTGTACAAGGGGAGGGGCTGCCTCAGATTTCAGTGTGAAGGAAGAATTTGAGGGATGAGCTCAGGGTCTTTGGAGGAGAGAGAAAGGGGACAGGGAGATTCTGATGGGGAGGGTGTGTCCCTAGCATCAGAGACTTGGGCCCTCCCCGCTCTAGAAGGAGCTCACCTTTCCCTCCCTGTTCACATCAGACCTGCAGCACTGCTGGGAAAACTTGGTGGACAACCAGGGCGAGCCTTTCGAGCCTTGTCCTACCCTGGTAGAACACATTGAAACCAAATCTCAGGAGCTGAAGGACATTCTCAGGGTGAGGTTCCTCCCTCCTGCTCCCCCCTCCTCTTCTCTCCCTGGGCCTGTCTCCTCCTCTGGGTCACCTGCTCCCTCCTGGGCCCCAGCTCCATCCCTCCCCTCAGGTCTCACAGTCCCCTCTGCTTCTCCCCCTCCTGCGCCCCTTTTCCTTTCCCTCCTGTGACTGCCCCAGACTCTGCTCTGTTCACCTTCCCACCTGCCTCACTCCCTGCTTCCTCCACCTCCTCCTTCTCGATCCAGAATCAGGGAAACTGAAGGACGGACTCAATCTCTCTAAACAGTCGGGGTCTTCTGGTGAACGAGGCATCAAACACTTTCTTCAAGAAATGAAAACGCAACAGGTCCCGCATCTCCAACTTGATCCACAGAAACCAGCAAAAGGCAACGAATGAGCTAATAAGGAATTTTTTTTAAAATCTGATTGATTTACTTTTCAATTAAAATCTATGATATGTTCTAAATACACATCAGTAATATTGTATTCATTACTAACAGAATCATTTTTATATTTAGAAAATAAATTATTTACATTGATTTTAAGTCCAAAGCAATAATATGAAAGATTAAGAATCTTTCACAAAATGTGTTTTCCTCTGTAAGTGTTTCATGAAGTCCAAATAGTTCAATAAACACCTGCAGAAGTGAAAATGCCCTTCTCTTCTGTAGGTAGCTCATGGGAGGGCAGTGGTCACACTAATTGCCACTGGCCACGTAAAGTCAGCAATATTTATAGGAGCGGAAGCTCAAATCCGAAAGCCTAAACCCATCGACCAAGGATGTGCTGAGAGTAGTGCTGTGTGAAATGACAGCCCCTGCAATAGGAGAAGAGAAAGGCTCAGGGCCACTATTGGGAAGAGCAAGTGAAGTTGACATTGGCTGAGGGGACGGCTGGGGATTACTGAGTCCTCAGGCCTTTCCAATTCCACTCCCTGGAGAGGATGCTGGAGGGAGGGGCTTCCCTGCAGACAGGATCTCTCTGCCCTTCCCAGGACCTGGCCCACGCAGGATGCAGTGCAGGCAGCAGCTGTCTGTCCTGCCGTGTCTCTGTGGAGCCTGAATCATGCTGAGTGAGCCCCTGGCAGCTGGGCATCCTGCACAAGGCGTTACAGGCAATGAAGGCTCCACATGCTTCTGCTCACATGTCCTGACCCCCCACCCCCCCTGTCACAACCTCCCACAGGACTGTGAGGGACTGGGACTGAATCCTTTTAGTTTAGAGACATTGGAGGGACAGAGAATAAAGGACAGTCATATGCTTTGTGGCCAAAGCAGTAAAGAAGGGAACTATGTCAAGGGACTAGAGCCAGAAGAAAGACTTTGAAAGACAAAGTGCCCTGAAAGAAATGGAAA